CATTTTTTTAAACATCAGCCATGACCACAACCGGATTAAACAAAAGTTATGAGTCCACATTTAAAGCTCAATACTTTGAATATTATCCGGAAAGTCTTTATTTTCAATATGAAGCATTATTTTTTATTTCACAGATCTCCAAAAAATATTGAAATTTCAAAATGTCACAAAAAGTGTTGCACTCCTGACAACTTTAGCATCATTTTTGGGCATAACTTTTTTGTTAATTGAGATATCAACGAGATATTTGGCAGGTATTTAGACACTATCTAAAGACATATGCTGAGACATAGAAATCTATTTTCATTGCCTGTATTTTTTGTGTGGGTAGATAAATATGCGTTTGGTCATTTTTTTTTAATTCACCCATAAAGCCCTTCGGGCTTTATGGAATTTGATCTCGTGACCAACCCGTATTTATATCCCGAAAGATGTTTAAAAATGATACCTTATTTCTTAAATATATATATATATATATATATATATATATATATATATATATATATATATATATATATATATATATATATATATATATATATATATATATATATATATATAAACAGTAACAAAACCAGTTTGGAATTTAATTCCAACAGCGTTATTTGAGGTGAAACGTAGGAGTTCAATACCCTATATACTAATCATGTATCCTGATAATATTATAAAAGCACGTGGCAATCCACCGGTTATAAATTACCAACGATATATCTTTTCATGTGCATTCAAAGTATTATACAGTTGTTTGAATTATATATCTCATATCATAATATGAGTACATGTATTCAATTTAACTCGGTTGCCGATACATGTAAAAAAAAAAAATATCAAATTGTTTTTTCTAAAACACGATGATTCAGAGAATTAAGAAAGAATTGTTCGAGGTTTTAATGTCTGTAGACTTGATTTTATTTTGTCATAAAACATTCAATATAGACGCAATTAAAAGTCGATATTCAAGTTTAGATTCAAATTCTTGCTTTTCTGTCCTCTGATAATTCATGGATATAATCTTATAGAGAACAATAAAGTGTCTAGAATGTCATTTAAATTTCATAGACTAAGTTTTGTAATGATAATAACAACCTTTATTTATCCAGGATTACATAATTAGAATACACCTAGTTCTTATTCTGCATCAAAACATTTTACAATCTGCATCAAAACATTTTACAATCACATAGGGATACTTACTCCTCCTATCCACCTGATCCCATCTTTGATGATTCCAGGTGCCTGTGTTCCTGTCCTGTTCACGGTTCGTATTGTTTACAAAATTAATTAGATAAATCACTGTTCATTATCTTCATCCTTCTCAATTGTGTTCAGCGTGGAAAAGACTTAAAATCTGAAGAAGATATGCAGTATCTGGAATAAGCATCACAGTTTGTGTTCAAAGAAAGACCAATCAGTACTGAAATTGTGGAATAACCGAAGATTTGTTTATACTTCTGCTTCAACAAAGGTATTTCCAGGAAGACACAATGGGATAAATTTATTTTCCTCTTTTCCATATTAAATGTGGGCCCAAGAGACCTTTGATTTCTTCACTACAGTACTACGTCTGTTATATTAGACACTGTAAACAGGTGAGTAGTCATGGACTATTAGACACTGTAAACAGATGAGGATTCAAGGACTATAAAACACTGTAAACAGATCAGTAATCAAGGACTATTAGACACTGTAAACAGGTGAGATATCAAGGACTATTAGATTCTGTAAACAGATGAAAAATCAAGGACTTTTATATACTGTAAACAGATTAGTAATCAAGGACTATTAGATAATGTAAACAGATGAGTAATCAAGAACTTAAGGACAATGTAAACAGATGAGAAATCAAGGACTATTAGATACTATAAACAGATGAAGAATCAAGAACTATTAGATACTGTAAACAGATGAGTAATTAAGAACTGTAGGACATTGTAAACAGATGAGTAATCAAGAACTATAGGATACTGTAAACAGATGAGTAATCAACTACTATTAGACACTGTAAACAGATCAGTAATTAATAACTCTTAGATCTTGTAAACAGATAAATAATCAATGACAATTAGACACTGTAAACAGGTGAGTAGTCATAGACTATTAGACACTGTAAACATGTAAGGACTATAAAACACTGTAAATAGAGGAGTACTCAAGGACTATTAGATAATGTAAACTGCTGAGTAATCAAGAACTATAGGACACTGTAAACAGATGAGTAATCAAGGACAATAGGACACTGTAAACAGATCAGTAATCAACGACTATTAGATAATGTAAACAGATGAGTAATCAAGGACTATTGGACACTGTAAACAGATGAGTAATCAAGAACTATAGGACACTGTAAACAGACGAGTATTAATCAAGGACTATTAGACAGAGTAAACAGATGATTAATCAAGGTCTATAAGAATAGACATGAGGAGAGTAGATGGAAGGCTTTGGTTGTTTCTTTTAACAACAATCTTATAAATAATTTGTACTTTATGGATTCTGTTAGATGTAAAACAACAAAATATCTGAAATGTGATTGAAAAAGATTTTCTCCTCATTGTAATGTCTTTTTTAGAAGAACTATCAGTGAGAAATTTATTTCCCAGAACAACCCTTACTTTTTCTTCTTTTAGTCGATATTCGTTGATATTGTTAATAGGTGTGTTATGGGAGTTAAACCAGTGAAAATGGATTTTAAAACCTTTTAAGATGAAGAAATTACACAAAGATGTTTTATCCTAAGCAAATATAAACCATAAAGATGTAAAAGACACAATTGCTAGTAACGCCTTGGCGACTAGGAGCTGTAGATGAGAACCGTTTGAGATTAAGGACATTGGCAAGGTTCCTGGTTATTGTATAGAATTTTTCAAGAACTTTTGAGTAGGTTTAAATGTACTAAATAGGCTATATTCTGGATCGTTTTACCTACTAATCCAGCATTCTTTTTTAGATTTTGTCAAATTAGTGTTTTTACAATTCTTAATGCATTTCCTATGCAAAATGTTGATAAAAGGGACCTACATAAATTTTCACCATAATATTTCTTCAAAACCCATTTATTTCATACAGTTTTTGTATTGTATACATTATTGTAACTTCATTTCCTATGACTTCTAGATATTTTGGTTGAAAATGTATTTATAGAAAAAAGACATGGATATACCGGCACCGATCATCATTTTTGAGTTGCGTCCCTTAACAGCTAAAATTGGTCAAGTGACTGGTTGATTGTTTTTATCATGTAATTGACTGAATTGATTGAAATACATTGTCATAAAATTATTGACATGGATTTATTTTTAACTTTTATTCGTAATTACTAAATGCTGATTCCTTCACACGACCTAAGAACTGTTCTCAGTCGGCATGGTCGACCTACCTTTCAGCATATGTCACATCTTTGCCCTTCCCAGCATACTGAGCATAACTATGGTAAATGACGACCTGTTTGCTCTTTGTCCCTGAATACAATGTACAACAAAGCCATTACTACTTTTCTTTCTTGCTGTATAGAAGATTCTACCCATTGAAGGAAGTACACGTGCTTTTGTTTACCTCTATAACATACGCTTTACTGGTTTTCACCGCTTAGAGAATTCTACACGGGAGATCACTCTCAATCACTATTTTACAAGTGAAAAAACCCATGTATTAAACCTTTTTTCTCCGGAAAGCCCTGACTTGCCAATGTCCTTAAGCCGAGGATATCATTTTCAAACTATAGATTCTATATTTAATTATAAAAAAGTTATTGCACACTATGTCAAGTTCACTGACTTCTCTGTCTGTTGATTTTCTTTATTATTATCATTCTTCAAGTTTTTGTTACCTGGAAATATAAGAATTGCGCAGGACGAATCTAATTTCTGAGATATCGGATCAAATCGATGTCAAATTGGTGTTAAAATAATTACGTCAATTCACGGAGAGAAAATACCTTGAAAAGTTCCTACTTCCTCTTAGATTTACTTGTAAAACACTCATTAATCTTTATCAATCTTGAAATTTAATCACAATTTTTTAAAAAGTAAAATAAAGAGGATGACCGATTTTTATATTATTGCAGTCTGTGAAGGTTGAAAGTAGCGTACATTCATTCAGTCTGAGCTGACGGAAGAATTTCGTTTCAATTTTATTCTATAGTTATTTTCCATGTTTCCTTAGCTATCTCTGTTTTCCCCGATTAAATTTATTCATCATTTTGCAAAACAATTGAAGGCTAAGAGACAATATTCAAAGTATGCTTACTTTAAAAAAAACAGATCTATTAAAGTTTTGATGCACAGACATTTTTAGTCTGACGTATTTCATACCTATTGTTAGGCCTTTATTTTTAAATTAAATTTGACTATGGAATATTCCGTCTACCCGATCAAGTCTTAGGACTTACGACAGGTGTTACCAGTCAACAGGGGATGCTTACTCCTCCTAGGCACCTGATCCCACCTCTGGAATTTCCGGGGATCCGTGCTTTATGTCCTGTTCACGGACTTTTATTGTTTGTAGGATTTTTTCAGATCGATTTTCACCTTTTTCATTTTTCTAAAACAATATAGAAGGCAATGACTCCTGGCTTCTCAGCTTGAACAATTCTTTACATTTCTCAATAATATCAACTGTATAAATGATGCACTGCAAACCCTCAGACAACTTTAAACAACAAAGAGATAATGGTATTCCTTTTGGTTTGACAACAACTGATAGCATTAGGAAACACATCGCTGGAGTTTCCATTTCTAAAAAAAAGGACATCATTTACCAATATTCCAGTAACATAGCACACTAATTCCTCTCTCTTTCAATATTCTTCATCTGATATATCTAGGATGCTAATATTTACAGCTTTTCAAATTTCAGTTTGTCTGTAATAACATTGATGTATAGATGTATCAAAGAGTAATCACGACTTTGTTATGTCTGCTCTTTGTACTGATCAGAGACAATGAGAATAACAAACTGGTTCTAACTACCCACTTCATCCATCTTCTTCATAAAATAACACGTTTTGTTTCTGATAACTGTTTATTACAATGCTTACACTACAACATTCAACATAAGTGATATTTCACAGAGGAACAATGCCATCTTAAACATTATCTCCATTTACTGGCTCCATCTTTGATAACTTGACTTAGGTTTTATCATTCATGCCATGTTTACATATGGTAAGTTCAGCTGACTTAAGTTTTATCATTCATGCCCTGTTTACATATCGTCTGCTCAGTTGACTTAGGTTTTATCAGTTGTGCCTTGTTTACGTATCGTCTGCTCTAGTTTTTCGTTTCTTCGTTTTCCCACCCTCTCCGTGTTGTTCTGATGAAGTACGCCTTCTCTTGCTCTCCTCTTCCTAAATAAAACCAATCTTATGTTTCATTATACTTTCCTTCTTTCTTGCAGAAGTTTATAGACACACTCTGCACTCAAAGAAATATTTGAAAAAAACTTGTCCTACTTGTGAAATAAATTCATTATACAACTACTATACATTTCAATATCCTCCACTTATTTTACACCTGAAACTTACAAATATTTAAAAGTATATCAAATTCAATCATTTTAATCTGAATATTTTACATTCATTTTTTCCCAGTTACAAGTACTGTATATCAAATAAACCAGGGTAGATGAATTCTAAAACATGAAATAAAATCTATTTTTTTTCTTAACCATAAACACTCCAGGTGATGTGTGTATCTTAATGAGATGTATCTTTTCATAACATTATCACAGTTACATGTATGTGATTTGAAGTAATAGAGTTCTTGCCCATTTTCTTTGAAAGTGTGACACCTGCCAGACAGCTAGACAGACAGACAGACAGACAAAGTGATTCATGATATACCATGTTCTACATCAACTTTTTTTTAATTATGTCTTGCAGCTAATATTGAATTCCTTTAAAGGAATGTACATCTACTTTAAAACACTCTAATCTCTTAATGCAGTTTCTTTTGATCCCTTTGGCATTCATATCAATAAAACAGTGGAAAATCACCCTAGGTATTGTAAGACCTGTATGTCGTACCTTATCACTGGTGTCCACTCGTCTGGAGCCCCTCAGAAGTTTGGTGTCTGCATTCTGGACCATTAGCTGGGTACTCACGTATTGCTACAAAAGTCAGAGATAGGTATGGATATATACATAGGATCGTCCAAAAGTCAGAGATAGGTACAGAAATATATAAAGGATCTCCCAAAAGTCAGAGATAGGTACGGATATATATAGGATCGTCCAAAAGTCAGAGACAGGTACAGAAATATATAAAGGATCTCCCAAAAGTCAGAGATAGGTATGGATATATATAGGATCTCCCAAAAGTCAGAGTTAGGTATGGATATATAGGATCTCCCAAAAGTCAGAGATAGGTACAGATATATAGGATCTCCCAAAAGTCAGAGATAGGTACAGATATATATAGGATCTCCCAAAAGTCATGTAGAAATAAAAACTGACTTGTCATACTTAGGTACCAAAATAGAAAAGAAGTATGATAATTGTGGTGGCTTTGAATATTCCAGCTTGTAAATAAATTATATCTACCTCAATGTGCTGTAGAACATCATTGTACATTTCCACTGCCATTTTGTGAACCCTGTGATTACAATTGTTGTACATGATGGCATTTGTAAACATGAGCATCATGTCTCGTTGGAACTCAGCGGTCGTCCTAATTACCCCACTCTCTATGTTCTTCTTAATCTGACTCAGATCCATTCTCCTGAAGGATAAGAAAGAGGATTAGTAGGAAATCGGAACTGTAATTTTGTACACTGATGTGTTAAACACAGCAATGTATCAAACTGTGGTCCCAATTGTTAAATATGTTCAAGTTTTGAACCCTTAAATAGAAATCTCAGATCTTTTTGTCTCTCTTGCAATGTTTGAGATGTTGAGATTTTATTCTTTATAAAGTAATTCTATGTTACAAATATTCCCTTATAATGTATGTTTATATACATATGTACATAAAGGTACATAGTTAAATGTTTGAGGTGTTGAGGTCTTATTGTGTAATGAGTATTCATATTTTAAAATATTCTCTAATAATGTATAATGTCAATATACACATGTACATAAAGTCACACTAATATCATACCTGTGGACAATAGTGGTGTATCCAGGGGCAATTTCATTGGTCACTGGGTGTAAAAACACATTTGCATATCTAAAACAAAAAAATAAGAGCTTCACTCATGTGTTCTTAATTAAAAAAAAATCTGGTAGATAATGTGTAACTAGTAGATTAACAAAGATAGTACTAACTTGTGATTACAAGCAAGAGGACTATGTTGCTCTATAGATACAAGTTTCAATGTTAGTGTATGTGCTTTTTAGGGGAGTGGTTAATGAGACTAAAATTGTATCTACCATATAAGCAGAATTTTTAGTGAGGATTCAATTTAAGCAATATTAGCGATAGTTCCGAGATCGCTAAAATTGAATATCGCTAATAATATATTACATATCGGTTGTTAGAGTTATCTCTCTTGACATTATAAAATCGTTAAAATTACTTCCCACTAAAAATATATACCAATTTTTGGGGATAAATCACTAAATTCACGTCTTGCTAAAATTTCCATTTATATGGTATTAAAAATGTATACATTAGAATAAAATTCAAAAATATATTAATTTTTAAATATAAAATATTGCCAATGACATAACTTTCACATTTAACATACATGTATGTATGTTTTCTGACCAAATTTGCAAGTTTCCCTTTTTATACACTTATTTCAAAAATGACAGCTCCCAATTTTTCATAACATCGAAACTCAAGTGCGTCATACCCAATGTATAGAAGGTTTTATACATGATTCAGTGTAATTCTAAATATTTTTAAGCACTTGAAGAAATGATAATGGCAAATAAGGGTCTTGTTTTAATTCTTTATAAAAATCTTCTATTATCTAAACAACAGCTCCTGATTTTTCTGAAAATGCCAGGATGAAAAAAATGTACCTCATACCCGATTTAATAAAAATTTTCATGCATTTAAAAAAAATAATAAGGGCAAATATAATAGTGTACTTGTACTATCTTACAAGCAGTGAAACTGAACTGTGATTGCCAATGGTATAGTAGTATATATATATTTATATACTTGTGATTGCCTATGGTATAGTAGTATATATATTTATATACTTGTGATTAGCTGCTGATCTCCAGACAAGCATGATGGACTTTTTCCAGTTTTTATAGGCTTTCTCATCTTCTGTGTCACTGCTACAATACAATAAACATGTCCAGTAAAATATTAAAGACAAAGAAAAATCATTAGTGTAAATTTTGAATATTGTTGGTTTCGCCCACTATTTTGACTGCAGAAAAATTTCTCTATGTAATAAATTGTTCATTGAAAATATATTAATCTTTATGCAGTGCCAAAATGAATATGTTACTCTATTCGTAAATTAATATATACTTGAGATTTTTATGTTTGTGTATCTGCAATAGAAATAAAGAGCTAACCAGTGAGATAATGGGCTGCTAGGAATGGATTCTGTAAATGGTGTTGGGGTGGGGACATTGGTGATATTCCCTGACACAGATGTATCGTCACTCTCACGGGCAGTTTCCTCCTCTGTCGTATCCCCATCACTTAACCTCGATGTACTATCTTCATCCTTGACTCCCTAATAACAAAATTTGATTGTTATCTATCAGCGGAATAAGCATTCAGTTATTTGACATGTTATTTTAGATAAGAGAGGTAGTAGGATACCAGAGGTTTCTTTGATCTCTTGGTCCTTCTCTTCCTTGCTGACTGTCGACCTGTTGAAAGATTAAATAAATGATACATTTGTTGCCAATTCTATCGCTAAGTTAAAATTCTGAACAAAAATATTTTTTGTATTGGGATTCTTAATCTTGATAAATGTGACAAAAATTTATTTTGAACTTTTACACAAGATTACTGAGTAATAAAAAATGGAATTTGTTAACTTTAAGCCCTTTTCAATATTCCAATTACTTCAGATTTGCTGCATTTCTATAATGATGGATAGCTGAACTAATTAGAAAAGGGTCCTACATGTAACAGCTCCAATGACCACAGCTGATATTATCATTAAATTGCCAGCCATTCTCACCTCTACTGCTGCGCCTGCTGCCTGACTTACTAGTTATGTCACACTCACTGATTTTGGAGGAGACACTACTAGCGGGGGACATTGGTTCCTCCTTCATAGAGACTTCTTCATCCAGCTGTACAAATCCTGTGTCTGTGGATTCCTGACTCTCGTCCTGTCAATCCACAAGTAAGACATGTCTAAAATATTCTTGCCATAAAATGGGTTATAATTTTTTTTACTTACTACATTTCTAATAATGTGAAATGCAAAATTAATATTAATTTTTTTTCCTGATAATTTCAGTTAGAAGCAATAAAAATATGTTATATTTAATTGAATGTTAACTCTCTGTGATAAAATACTGTGGAATCATTTAAATTCGTGGGGTCAATGTTCGTGGGCAAGCAAAATTTTATTGGTTCGTGGGGATGTAATTTCGTGGACAGCTCGTTTATTTGGTAGATTTAATTAATCAGTACATTGACAAAAAAAGTGTTCGTGGGGATGTAAATTCGTGGGTGAGGGTGACCCACAAAATCCACGAACATTAATTCCCCACGAACATTGATGATTCCACAGTATATTTGCAAAATAAAAATGTACTGAAATTTTTTAGCCATGTGTGTTGAAACGAAAATCAAAGAATAAAGCACCTGGTCCACATTGACAACTTCCTCTTTGACTTTTTGCTGCAGACTAACTTCCTGTTCTTCTACTTCCTCTTCCTTTACATCTTCTATCTCCACAATCTCTAAAAAAAAAAAAAGCAACAAAAGATTTAAAATCAGAGGATCATTCTTAACTGAATCTTGACCACCATGGAAAATGAAAAGCATTATTTACTGAGTTGATAGTTAAAGGCATTGTCTACTGCCTACTCCCTACAAATTCGGTAAGTTAATACACTGTACCTGTAATATTTAATTTATGTGATAAACAAACAGCTAAATCATTAGTTTATGTATATTTTAGCTTGCTCCTTACCCTCATCTACTGGGATGGTGTTGCTACTGCTGGGGGTGTCAGTAGTGGTTCGGGGGACATCTTCCTCCTCGACAGATTTACTCTGACCCTTGTGGAGAAGTTTGGTCAGTGTTGGGGCAGCTGTAGGGGAAATATTGGTATCGACTTAATATCATGCAGTGTTTGCTTAAATTCCTCTGACACACAGAAAAATTATTCCAAAGAATTTTTTAAAAAATCATCCAAATATCCATATTTAAATATCAAGAGCCTGAAAGACTTCAGTGGTGTCAAACATTAAAAAAACTTATTTCAAAAGATCTATGATTTTAAGCAATGCAAACAAATTTCACAATTATAATTGTGGGGCCTTATGTCATGGTCTGATATGAACAGGGTCTGAATTAACCAGACACCACTGACAGTCAACAGACACAGATGTCTGTTCTTGATATTAAATATAAATAACTCTATCATCTCTTTTCAGGCAGTTTAAGAACCAGAAGGGATTTGCTTTATGAGATTATTCTACTTGTCAATGTCAAAGCACTGCTTTTCAGTAATTTTAGCTAACATAACATTTTCAGTGATTCCACCTTAGCTATGAGTTACAGTTGAGCATGGTTTACGGAACACCATATACCCCAGTACTAGGATACACAGTATCTTTGTAACAAAATATAATTTTAAATAAAATTGATGCTATTCTATTTTGAAGTTATTCATTGTGACCATTTTCAAAGGAAATCAAAATGTACTACTTTCTTTTGTTTGCGGATGCATCGACTGTCATCTTTTGTTGCATAAATTCCTGTCAGACTCATGACCCCTATTATGCTTTCAAGCTCCAATAGATGCCATAAAATCCGATACAGCAAACTTTTGTAAAGCAATGCATTTACAACTAAAAATTAAAAGACTACTCTTACTACTAGATGGAGTTTGTTCAATGGCTGAGACAGCCCCTGTAGACTCTCGCTGCTCTGTTTTCTTTACAGGTGTCTCTGTTAAAGTGGTGACTGTGGTAGACGTGGCAACCACAGCAGCCTCAGCCTTGGCTTGTTCCTGCTCTGTTTTCTGTTGAAAAAAAAATAAATCCATTATAAAACTGCATTAAACCACGTTAGAAAACATTTGCTTTACATAGGCCACATACAGTTCTATCCTCAATTCTCTTTTTTTTTCATTAAATGCGACAATAAGTCAAATCCTTCAAGGATATGATTCAGTATTCTTATATGTAGCTTATTCCAGTATCCTATTTGCTTTAAATCATCTTCCCTATTTTCTTATTTTGTCTGCTAGAGTGAAAATACATGTACAGACATCAATATAAGTACAACTGGCCTCTCCTACCGTTTTCCCTTCTCGTACCTCTTTGAGTTCCTTTAGATCCTCCACTTTGCTGGTTTTACTGGACAGAAGAGTGGTCAACAATCGTGTTGGGGAGGGGGTAGGCTTGGGTTTGTCTTCTCCCCCTGAGGTAGGCTCTATCTTCACAGTTAAGGGCTCCTTTAGTACAGCTTTCTCTTCAGCCTACAGTTCCAAAATTCATTCATTACTAGTATTTCATTTTCTTGTGCTTGTAAATTAACACATCATATTTTTTATATCAACTTCTCCATGTATAACAACACCTATATTATATACATACATGCATTGCAAAACACTTATAGATTACTGAATTTGCCAGCATTTTCTGCTTTATTAAACTCTTTATTTGACTGTATGTGTTCTAATTTTCACTGTATTGACATTTTGGTACCTTTACAGAGATAGCTTGTGTACTAAATCATGAAATTACAGTGTTATATACAAGTGATTAAAACTTTTACATGTAAGTACTGACAAACATTTACATAACTGACAGTCCCAATTCACTATTGTGCCAAAGAGTTCAAGATCTCTATGTGTGCTGCCCAATTCTCTAGTATGCCAAAGAGTTCATGATCTCTATGTGTGCTGCCCCACTCTCTAGTATGCCATAGAGTTCATGATCTATATGTGTGCTGAATTTTAACTATGCTAGAAAACTACATGTACAGCAGTAATTAAACGTGCATATATATGTAAAATTTTCACAAAAAAATTACCTGTTGTTGATGTGTAATTTCATCTACTACAGTCCCCTTTATTAATGTCTTATAGATGGACACCTACTGTAATATTGGTGATGTTAGCCTCCACAATAATTTCTTTATTCTCTGTTTCTTGATCATTTTCCTCTGTCTCCATTTCTGTTTGACCTACAGACATTATCAACAAATTTAGTCTGAGTGTTCCTATAAATCTACTTTTCTTCTTTTTATCTATAGCACAGTGAAACATAGTTACTGGTAGATACTGAATTTTTATAAATCGAGTCCAGACTTGAACACTTAGCTGACATCCACAGCTTAGCATGATAGACAATCTATGTGCATGGTTATTGAATTATCCAAGCTTTCCTAAAACAGGGAGCCTTTGGAACTCTTCAGAGCTTCAGTTAACATAAATTTATTTTGAACATTCAGTGTTTAAGATAAAAATGAAAAAGGAGAATAGGTATAAAAATACAATTCTATGAAATAATTATTTATAGCTCACAACAAACAAACCTTAAAATAAATAAATGAAGTAACCCTTATTTGGAACACAGTGGTAAATGCAATAAACGTAATCTAATTAAATCTCCAAATATATAAATAAAGTTATAAATGCAATTAAAAATACTGTATACAGGGTTATTTTCACCCTTTCACATTTGAATAAAATTTTGCCTCGTTTTAAATTTGACCAGTCACAATTCTTCATTAGAAATAATACTGAGGTTTTTTTAATTCATCCCATTTTAAATTTGCCCATATGTGAGTAGGGCAAAAAGGAGGAAAATAGAACGGGGGTGAAAATTTCTTGTATACAGTAACAAATACAAATATTCAAAAAATAACTTTCTGAAAAATATGCTTCCTTTTTCATGTAAAATGAAATAAAATGATTAAGTTTAAGTAGAATAATGGAAGACAAACTTTCTGCGGTAGAAGCTTGGGCAGACTCGGCTGCCGACATCTCAGCTTGTCTGGCCGCCTCTTCTGCTTCCTTCTTCTCGCTGAAAAATATAAATTGTTAGATTACTACCAACTCCTTGTTTACTTCATATATCTTTTGCCAGTTCACATGTTTGTATCAGCATTTCATCGATAAACTACTATCTATTCATTATTTTCTTCATAAATGTATTCACTTATTTGGCATTATCTATTTTTTTTGTAAGAATCCACAAAAATGATATCTTTCTCATGATTTTTCTTAAAAGAAGTATTTTAAAGATATTTATTTCCATATATATCACCAACCTGAGCATTTGCTGATAAATATTAGGCAGTCTGTCATCCCACTGTCCTGATTTGATCATTTCCACTTCTTTCTTTAACTTCCTGTGGGGAAAATCAAAAGTTTTTGTTGCTATAACTGCTACACTGAAATCTGAAAACTGACACATTAACAGTTCAAAACTTGATAGATAGAATTTGTTACTTGTATTTTTGTTCCTGTTCCATAACCGTTTTCTTCAGTTCCTCTATCCGCTCTATCGTTAGTTTTCTCATAATCTGAAGACTTGGGGTCTCCACCTCACCACGATCCCTGCCTTTCCTCCTGAAGCAAGAGAGACAAATAAGTTTGTAAATTACTTAGTCCCACTGAAGATCATTTCTTTGGGGGGGGGGGGGGGGTTCAATGTTTGTGGGCAAGCAAAATTTTATTGGTTTTGGGGGATGTAATTTTGTGGGTTACTTATGTACAGAAGATTCAGTGAATATGTTGACAAAATAATTGTTTGTGGGGATGCAAATTCATGGATGAGGGTGACCCACAAAATCTGAACATCGGTCCCCCATGAATGATGATGATGATTCTACAGTAGTCAAACTAGTCATTTCAGTGTCTCTTAAATGACTAAACATAACAAATATGTAATACTAATAAAAATCTTCACATAGATCATGCTTTAGAATACACTTCAAGTTACATGTATTTAAATCCATACAGTTAAAGTACATCATGACGACACTGAGGGAGTTAGCAAGATTCCAGTTCCTAAAGGCCAGGACCATTTCCCGAGGTGAAGCCGAGAGAAAAAGTCCTGGTCAAGGGAAACTGGAGTCTTGCTTACTCATTCAATGATATACTTTTTAACTTTTTTATTATACTGACACAAATTTTGAAGCAGGGATGAGCTCACTTGACTTAAGCATGGCAACAGGGGATTAGTCCCTTCACAGTGATAAAGATACAAATTTCGAAGTAGGGATTAGTTCACTTGGCTATTGCATGGTAAATTGGGGATTAATCCATTCACAGCGATTTCTAGGGAATAATTCATTTCTAAAGATCTAATTTTATACAGGGAAAAATCAGTAAGGGAATAATAAAAACAGTTAACATAAGACTACCACTCAGGAATGTTCATCATACTTAGGTGTTTCCACTTTCTCCAGAAGGTCTGCATACTGCAATGCACAATTCTGAAAAGAAACATATTCATAATAAATAGTAACTGATAATAGCTACAAGTTTTTTTTCAAATATGGTTTTGAATTTGATATTCGATCAACAGATTTAACAAGAGTAAAAAATATAGAATTGTAAATCATTAGTCTACATTTTATGCTGTAAATTACTTGAAGTAAGTACTGTATTAAATGGACTTTTTTCAGTGGGGTTTTATTTCCAAAAAATCATGATTTCTGTTTAATCCATGGGTAAAAAATTACCGGTACATGAATTTATTAAATTGCCACTTTATCAGTTTATGCCTTTAATGTACTTTAGAAATGCTGGGACAAATTCCAGCGGAAAATTTGGGACCATCTACACAGCCTAAATTAATACCACATGTAAAAAAGTACTTCAAGAGTACTTAAAACCTCCAGATTAACAGCTCTACTTGAAAGATCAAGTCAGTATAAACCAAATCTCTTA